TTTTTTCCCCCGTTCTCCACCGATATTTTTACTTTTAATCTATGTTGTTTTATTATTATTGTGTGGCGCATCTTCTTGGTGTCATATTGTACCACTTTTTTCTGCCTTTAAATAAATAGACAGACAGACAGACAGTAAGCAGTATAGTTCAATCACATATCTCAATAACGATTGGGTCTTGTAGATAAGCTGGTGGAGTGTTGGACTGGTGATTCAGAGGCCATCCGTTTGGATTCTACTCCAGTGCCTCTTCTCTGCCGGGCTGTTGAATCCTGAAACTGATGGTTCTCCCCTGACGCTTTGCCATTACTTCCCTACGGACTGACATAAGCATCTTCTGCCCGACATCTCAATGATGTGCTCTAGCTTCGCTCTCCAATTCTATGCTCCAGTTAGTTCTGCATAAGGCTCAGAGGCCTTCAGCGACTTCTTCATGTCTCGATCGTTGAAGACCTACGGCATTTTCATTCTTCTTGCTTCTTTCATTACTAATTTGGTGACTTTCTCTAAAGAGACTTATTTTTTCTTGTTAGGCTACTTGAAATGATTTATGAGTAGTATACAACACAATGAAGATGGCCAGAAAAGATCAACAACAGGGATCTCTGGGAGCGAACCGACCAGAAACCGATTGTGAAACAAATAGGCAGGAAGAAATGGAGATGGATTGGCCATACTCTGAGGAAACAAACCATCAAGTGACATCACTAGACAAGCCCTTGAGTAGAAACCGAAAGGGAAGCGGCGAGTTGGTCGTCAGTGCAAGGGTGACTTGGAGGAGGTCATGTGAAGAGGAGATGAAAACATGTGGGCAGACATGGAGCCAGGTGAAGACTCTAGCAGAGAACCGAACGCAATGGAGACGCATGGCTGAAGCCCTATGTTCCTCTAGGAATTAAAGGAATTAAATAAAATAAATAATAAAAATACTACACAATACTTCTCTAAAAAAATGGAAATTTGCAAATATTCCTCACTAACAAGTGCCAATAAACATAGAACCTATTGCTCAGGGCTTCTTATCTATCACTTGTAACCGTGTAACGCCAATACAAAGCGGCCTACTGTTTCTTTGTATTACTTTTTCTGCAGTATTTTATCTCCGTGCAATCTTTAACAATTGCATTATTATACGACGTCATTATGTCGGCTTGCTTTATCCTTGAAAGTGATAAATTCTTATTGACCAACCTATTACATATATACCACCATTTGATTGGCATCATTGTGACGTGATGTTTAAAATATACAAGTGCATAGTTAGTGTAGAATAGTTGATAAAGTATTAATTGAAAAGAAGAATATTTTGTTTTAAGAAGTCGTGACCAGTAGGGTGCAGTAGGTTTGGAGTCAGGTCAAATACTCGCCACAGATGACATTGGCTAGTGGTCTCGCTATGTCGTGATTTGGCAGAAGTTAAAATTCATGTATTGGCCATTGGATTAGGTCAAAGTGGCCGTTTAATGGTCTACGAGCTAGCTCGCCTTGCAACCGGAAGGTCCTAGGTTCGAACTCCCTGTGGTGGATGCATAATGCTGAAGAGCCCCAAACTAGGCTGACGAACAGCTGGCTGTCCAGTACTCCCAGGTTTTTTCCAATGGATCTCTAACCATTGTAAGCTCATGATGAAATCCTGTAACCACTCAATCAAGTCCCTACAAACCAACACTAGAGTAGAGTATTTTGTGCTCTGAGACTTTGCAAAATGCCTATAGTATGTAGACATTTGTATTATCAACGTTTTAGAAACATTTACATCTGAGGTTATGGTAGTATGAATGTGTATAGGCGTTTAACATCGGTTGACTGTAAAACGACATTGCTGTTAAAAGTCATTCAAGTCATACACAAGATTATGAGTGAACTAGTAGTTATGGGAAAAATTTAGTCTAATGCTTAAAACAATTAGTTCCCTTTTTGCAATTCGATAACACAAAATCAGAAGACGTAGTTGATCTGAAACGTGTAATATGTATTTACGCAACCAATTTTGGACATTCTGGTCACACACATACACACACCCGAGTACTTGTCATGCACAGTTATACAGAAGGAAATTGAACCTTGCTTCTAAATTGGATTATGAAGGCAGGTTTAATTCAAAGAATTTAAGTATATGACCCAACCTTGTTTTATACATATGGGTTTAAAGGCATTATTGAAACCAACCGTATGACCCATCGCTATAATGTGCTTTGCTATAGATGATGTTGGACATCTATTTCCGGGATCATTTGTGTCCGTCGACTTTGTTTGTTGTTGCAGCTACTTGGGATATGTCCTGTAGCCCTAACCTGCAGAGACCGATGGTTCTTCCCTATGTACCTGTGTTCACACATACATGTAAACTGATAAACACAATGGGATGTGACACTGTCGTTCGGATAATATGAGGGTTTACAGGACAGCATAGATCCCGTTTTGTCTATGGCGATAAGTTCAGCTGCATAAGGAGTTATATTAATTGTGGCTTTGAGTCTTTGTTTAGTGATTAGACTTTGTTGATCACCCATGAACGGCAAGGATATATAAACATCCTTCTTGAGAGCTGACTGGATTAGTAGAGCTCTTTGGTTGATACTTCTGTAACGCTTAATGAATCTCAGCTGGTAATTTTTATCTAACGATATTTCAGTGAGGTGTTGTGCTTCTTAGTTTCATGCATTTAAGTAGCTTAACAACATGTTGGTTAATTTTATTCAATGTTTGACTTCGCTTTAAATGTATCATGTTCCACTGGAGTTTGGATGACGAAATAAGTAACTGGTGGAACTTCATAAAAAGACATCTACCCACCAAGCCAACCTACCAGATCAAAGGCCCCATAGGAAAGCACAAGGAAGATTGCCCTACCATATTTAAAACATATCTCAGAAATCACTGCAAGACTCTTTAAACCTTTAGGAAATGCTGTAGCACACAAACCAATAAAATCACTCCACTCAACTCTGTGTCAACCGAAAAACTTAACAGCGAAAGAAGATAGAACCAACACCGTCCAGAAAATAAGTTGTGATGACTGAGAAAAACACTACACTGGCCCAAAAGTGGTCGTCCCCTTCGTCTTCGTATCCATGAGATAAGTAACTTTATGCAGCCCGCCTAAATCACCAAGCTATCAGAATTTACATCTATCCATCCATCAAAATGTTGCTTAAACTCTTCTGCATTTCTTATTGTTTAAATCATGAAATTATGTCAGATGATCACTACATGATTTTGCGTACATAGTTAGCCTTCAGCAAAACTTCCTGATATTCTTGAAGAAAAGAATGTACAAGGACGAAAACGGTATCTCTATATATTCAAATTATGTATACCTTATCTTCAACGTACTGTTTGCACAGATCTTCGTGTTGAGGTACTTCTGAACTTCACACTGTGTTTCTTTATGTTCCTTCCACTTCTTCCATGTATCTCAACAAGGCTGTATCATTTGCCTTCTCTGAAATCAAATGTATGTTTCTGCTATTTGGTGTTTTTATGCCAGTCAATGAATGTATCTTTATATACTACTTATAAAAGTTATCAGTAGCACTCGCCACAATAACACTACATCATATGATACACTTCAGATTATTACTTGTAAATTCTGTATAGAGACGAAATATTTTAGAAGTGAATACCCTGGGAATTTCTGTACTATGTGTTCACATATGGTCTCAAACGAAGCCTTATTATTATTGATTCATGGGTAATTCCCATCCAAATGTTAATGGATGTAACAAAACACATAGTGTTCAGCGAAGAATCTCTTTTCGGCGGATTCATTCACCTATGTATGTGTAAATTAGCTTTGTCAGACAAGGATAGAAATTAGTAAGGGTTATGGTTTACGTCATCACAATATCTTAAAAAATTTCATGAATAATCAAATTGCAACTAGGTGGGGGGGGGTAAAGATTGGGAAGAGGGTAGTGGTGATGAGTTGTCAGAAAAACACATAGTTGTCAGTGTTACTCAATGCATAAGAGAAGTTGAATCAGTGTATTATAGTTGCGTAACAATATGAATAATTTAATGAGTGAGTTTTGATTAGGGTTTACATAGAAACGAAGGAAAATATAGAATTACGTAAGAGATGTGAAGAAATACAAGATTAGTAAGGAGTTAGAAAAGCAGGTACACAAAAACAGAGTCAGTAGAAATCAGCGGAGTTGTTACCATGATAGTAGAAGTGGTTGAATGGTTTTCTTTTGTTTATATAACTCTGGTTTTTTTCAACTAAATCGCTAATGTTTCTACAATACAAAGGAGACGAAGGCGTATTGTCTTTGGTAGGTTATTCTTAACTTTGTAGATTACTTTGAAGGAGGCGTTTGTTGAGATGGAATGGTTAGTGTTGACAAGGTGTTCCATTGTCTCACTCCTTATAGACCCAATACTAGCTTTTTTGCAGCCATGCCGGATAGGGTTTTGGAATCCTTTTGAACGAGATACACGTTGAACGACCAATGTACATGGCTGGCTACTCAGCCACAGGTGAACTGATATGTGCACATATAAGTGGTCGGATGCCGGGTCTTGTTCTTAAGGCTTCTGCATACCTTTGGATGACTGGAGGACGCTACTCTTAGCGTTGCTGAGAAGAATGTTCTTCTCAAAGATGCTGAAATTCTTCTCTTACGGATATCTCAGGCTGTCTCCCTTGAAGTTCAGGTTCATGTAAAGTTTCTTTCTTTAAATGTGTAATGTTTCGTTCCTCTGGACCTCTGGCTCGGTATGCTTGTCGATGAGCCTTGGGGGGATGTTTCCATTTTAGATGGAGAAGGTCCAGTTCTGCCTCTACGATGTCAGGACTGCGAATACGTTGGACCCGAGTGGCAAGGGATTTAATTAGATTTTGTTTTCGTTCAACGAGCACTCATTCTTATTATTATTAGTAGTATACAAGACGGTGGAATTTCTGAATTCTAAATTTTTTTCTAGAGTAATATATATATATATATATGGTTTTACTAATCGTTTTCTTTTTTTGTTGTTGAATATTTTCTTTCCAGTTGGATAGATTTAAAGAACCTCCAGCATTCGGTGCAATGTGTGATCTGTTATGGGCTGATCCATGTGAAGATTTTGGTCAAGAAAGAAATTCAGAGCATTTTAGTCATAATACTGTTCGTGGATGTTCATATTTTTACAGTTTTAATGCATGCTGTCATTTCTTACAAGCTAATAATTTACTATCAATTATACGTGCTCATGAAGCTCAAGATGCCGGGTAGGTACACTCATCGGATTGTTGTTGTGTTATTGTTGTTGGTGGTGGTGGTGTTGATTTTCTGCAATTTATGTGATAATTCTGACATTTACATAAGAATAAAACTTGGGCACTGTGGTAGAGTGTAATTCCATTATGGGTAAATTTTTATTTTGATAGAGTCTCACAGTGTTATACAGTAATATTTACTGATGACGTTTCGAGCACAATTTATTACTGCTCATAATCATATCAAGGTAATCACACGACTTCCTAAATTCATTTATATAATTCCATTGTTTTTCACTTGATTTTCACTTGATTTGATTGGTAGTATTATTTTCCATATTCCCGGTATAGTTAGAAGAGGCGTTGGTTTTAAATAACTATCCTCTAAAATTCATTAGGAAGATTGAAAAAGGCCAAAAGAAAAATAAAAATAATTGTGAAACTAGTAATGATAACATAAATAAGAGAGAATATAAGTCATCTACAGTTCTACCATATAAGGAGGGGACATCTGAGACTCTACGTAATATTCTCAACAAAGCAGGAATTAGGGTGGCATTTAAACCTACAAACTCACTCAGGGATAAGCTCTGTAGGTGAAAGGACCCCGTTGACCCAATTAGACAAAATAATATAATTTACAAAATACCCTGCAATGACTGTGAGTTATGTGAACTACATAGGTCAGACTAGTAGGTCGGGGGTAGTCAGATTATCAGAACATAAGAATTTAGCTAAGGTAAGAATGGTTGACCCAGAGAAGATAAGTAATTTAGAAAAAAGCTCAGCAATTGCAATGCATGCATTAGCACACAACCACACAATAGGGTGGGAGAGGGTTAAAATTCTAAAAAGTAATTTAGGTAGGTGGAGAGAGAGGTTGATTACTGAATCCTTGTTCATCGAATCTACACCCAATACATGCAATAGGAATGATTCATCACCCATACCCGAAATATGGAAAATACTACTACCAATCAAATCAAGTGAAAAACAATGGAACTATATAAATGAATTTAGGAAGTCGTGTGATTGCCTTGATCTGACATTTACCTCCTGTGGGGAAGATATTTATATAGAAATATTTGAATTCACAATGGTTTTTTCTTTGTGCATCAGTGGCACAGTGGTTAGGACGCTGGCTGACCATTCACAGGGTCCGGGGTTCGATCCGTGGCCGACGAACACCTGGTATCAATAGTCGGCCTGTTAAATTTGGACTACCGATATTACATACTGAAAATTTTTCTTAGTGAATTTAAATAAGGCAAGAACAGCAGCTTTTGCAGAATAAAATAGTACCATCATTTATTTCGTTGACTTCTCATCAGCTCAGCTGTTTACAGCCCAAAGTCATTATTAAGTATATCTACAGAAACAATTTTAACTTACTTGCACAGAGTTTATTTTTAAACAAAAATCAATCAATCAATATACACATACAATAATATATATATATATAATTTTAAATACTGTTACGAACAATAATGATCATACACAATGAAAACGTTTGACATTACGTAATCAGATGAAAGAGAGGGTGAAAATATACAGTTACCAGACTGGGCAAGGAAAGACTTATAACGGCTTTTATCTTAACGCATAAATCCGGTTTCAGGCGCTTGATGGAGATTGCTTCGGCAAACTTTAGGAAAATTGAACTCTCTTTCCCATTGATAATTTTGAACGATCTTGCGGCGTCCACCTGATAACCAGTGTCAACGAGATGCCTGGCGATGGCACTGTTTAAAGCATTTGTTCATTTTAAACATAGGCTTTTTGGTACATGTTCAGAAAATCGGAGGTATGCCCTTTTTTCTGTTCTTCCAATGTAACTGCTCACGCAGATACATGTAAATTTGTATATACAGTTGGAGTTGACATGAGAAGGATATTTTTGATGGCACCAAGGCTCAAGTTTTTCGATAGACGTGAACCAGCTTAGCTACAGGATAGGCTGTGCCTAGTGACTTCCTCAATCTTCTGTTGACAATCACTGTAATATTTTCACCTTTAAAATCAAGTTGTATATAGATGGGCTTTTTTATTCCACTGTGATTTGCTTGACATTCAAGCCTTCATGTCTTCCGTACTTGTTAATGAACCTTTGACGATAACCATTGCTTTTCAACATCTTTTCAAGAAACATAAATTCTTCCCCTAATTTCTCTGTAGAGCATAATCTCCTAGCTGTATAGTATACAGTCTTGACTGGTGCTCGTTTATAGCTTGCTATTTGGACGAAAACTATTAAAATGTAGGTATTGTCGGTAAATTGACTGCTGAAGGCTACCAACTTCTAGGTATGGCTTTTGATTCTGTCTATAATCACCATATTTTCAAGCTAATTAGGAGATAAACGGTTAGTTTCATCCTTCTCTACAGACAGACAGACAGACAGACAGACAGACAGACAGACAGACAGACAGACAGACAGACAGAGAGACTAAAGTGAATCTAATATTTTCTACTGAACTCGTTTGAAAGGCTGTACAACTGACTCAGAGAATATAACTGTTCAATAAATAAGCAGAGGAGAGCGCGACAAAAATGGCGTTGGTGCCAGTTTGTACATGTATCGTTAACACAAAAGTTCAGACATTCAAGGTGCACTACAGGCTCCTCAGTTTTAGCTCTCGTCGACTGGCGACTAGCATCACCGCCAGCCAGTGTCACTGGTGAATATTCCTCCTCACACACGATCTGGTGTTGGCTACTGGTCACAAGTTCTCAATAGAACTTCAAGCAACTTTGTCGCGTAGTCAGTCACTGGTTCTCTTACCGATATCAATCCGTGCTTGAACTTGAAACCTATCATTATTATTATTGTTTCCTTTAGTTCCTAGAGGAACATAGGGCTTCAGCCATGTGTCTCCATTGCGTTCGGTTCTCTGCTAGAGTTTTCACCTGGCTCCACGTCTGCCCACACGCTTTCATCTCCTCTTCACATGACCTCCTCCAAGTCACCCTTGCACTGACGACCAACTCGCCGCTTCCCTTTCGGGTTCCACTCGAGCTATGGCTTGTCTAGTGATGTCACTTGCTGGTTTCCTCAGAGTGTGGCCAATCCATCTCCATTTCTTCCTGCTTATTTATTGCACAATCGGTTCCTGTTTGATTCGCTCCCAGAGATCATTGTTGCTGATCTTTTCTGGCCGTCTATCTGATCTTGACTAGTATTGAGCGAAGACAACTGTTAATGAAGGTTTGTAGTTTGTTTGAGATGCTCTTTATGACGCGCTGGCCAAGTCTCTGATCCGTATAGTTGCACTGACTTGACATTGGAGTTGAAAATCCGGATCTTATTTTCATTTTCATGCTGAGTGCTGTTGACCTCCACACAGGCTTGAGAGTAGTGAATCAAATCCCTACAGACCAACCAACACTTGAAAATAAAATGGAAGTAATACACTTCAGGCGGAGAGGAATGGATAATCGCATACCGTGATAATTTAATTTTTGCAAGTGATCACTACTCATGTTTCCTAAATCTCCTTTGTGATTTTGTTTTTGTTTATGTTTTATTTTTTGTTTAAAAAAATATAAGATTGTTATTTGATTATCTAATTATTTATTTATTTATTTATTTGAAATTCTCATTACTTATTTCAATCAAAATAACAATGAAAAAAAACGAAAACAAATAGTTATCGAATGTACAGAAAGAGTAGACAAACTGGCTTTCCTGCATTGATCACAATTTTCTCAGCACCAAACTATTTAGATGTGTACAATAATAAAGGTGAGTAGTTGTGTGTGATATTTATTTGCATATTTCGTATTGGTTGGCAAAGGAATCCGGTACTCTTGTTTCGTCCTAACTAAGACTCATCATCTGTGTGTGTGCCTGGGTCACCAGTAAGTAGTGTGAGAGTGTTCCTCTACTAAGAATAGAACTCCGCAGTTATCGTTTTAGACACCACAGGTGTATTCAACTAGGCCAATTAGGCAGTGAGATAAAATTCTTGCTCAACAGCTATCAGTAACAGTCACCGAAGGAATTTCGTTTCAGAATTCATTCGGTTACGGGGAAATTAAAAATAACTTTAAGAGAATCATTGGGAGGGATTTGACAGAGGTTACTCCCTTCACTTATCTGGCTAGAAAGCACGGTTTCAACCATAGGCAGTCGGAACAAATGAAGATGTTAAAGACAGTCAGAATCGGAGAGACAAAATACACCTTCATCGACCTGAAACCAGCTGGGAAATCTTCTGCACTGACTCAATCAGCATAAGGAACAAGATTTGGATTTTCAACAACAATTTCAAGTTGGTCAGTCAGTTAGTTCTTCTGTGGTGAGAGCTGTCTACTAGCCAAATCGGTAGACAGTAATTTACGTCAATATTTACGTTCCCAAGATTTGTCGTGAGAAAATGTGAACAAAGATTGATTCAAAACCGACCACAGCAGACTTTGACGATGGCGGATGCAGTTAACATATAAAGGATTTGACATTCAAGAAACAGTCACAAATAGATGAAAGATTAACTTTACGTGAGAAACAACCAATCGGAAGACTGTGTTTGTTTACTTAAATAACCATAGTAATGTACATGCAAATATATAAATATGCGTTGATTTCCTTAATAAATGATCTGTTGCCTGACCCTTGTCTTCGGTTGTTACACTTCTATGTGGGTCAGAAACTTGCAATGCGCGTCGCGTAAAGCATTTCCGACAAGTTACAGACTTCCATCAACAGCTGCCTTCGATATCTCCTTACGGAAGATCAAATGCCCGGCCAGCTAGCCAGAAAGAATTAACAAGAGGAAACTCTACAGTGGAACAAGCCAACCAAGAGCCGATTGCTCAATAAATATGCAGGAGAAAATAGAGGTGGATCGGTCATACACTGGGGAGGCTGTCGAATGATATCACGCACAATGCAGGCCATCGCTCCTGTGGAATCTCAATGAGAAACGACAAGGGTGACATGGAGGAGATCGTGGGGGGAAGAGGAAATGAAGGATTATGGGCAATCATGGGCCTAGCTGAAGAGGACAGCAGAAAATAGAACCAAGTCGAGATGTGTTGTTGAAACCCTATGCTTCACTTGGAACCCAAGCGAATAATAATAATAATGATTTAGAAGGAAACTAAACTCTTAAATAGAGTTTATCATTATAGGATTTAATTCTCATCTAGCTGTTGTATTTCATTGTTTTATAAATTTTTGTTACTTTCATTGGGCACTAGGAAGTAACCGGTGTCGCTGGTGTAGTCCTTCCTTTGGTGCAGAATGAATTCTGTCAGTCGACTTTGCAATTCGACCACCATATCACGTGTTTCTCCATCACGGCAAACACTTTGAATTGTCGTTAGTTGGTTGTACGAAATCGAAAGGAAGCCTTAGACCTAGTTTTTGTGCCTGTCGGAACTCGTTATCTAGGTGTTGCTGCAATCTTCAAGGAATTCATGCCCCTTCTGAGATTCACCTTGTTATAAAGTCAAAGGTATTACCACTGATCTATTAGGATTCGCGACTGACCCCCCTTTGGGCTGGTCACTATAGAATAACCAGTGCCATGTGTCTAGCCATCAGTGGAAATACAAACTGAATTCTGTCAGTCGCCAAGCTAGGTGGCTTGCCATTGCAGCGCACTCTGAATAGACGTTTCGAGCATAAACTATTGCTCATAATCATATAAACTTGATATGATTATGAGCAATAGGTTATGCTCGAAACGTCGTCAGTTAATATTACTGTACAACACTTTGATTTATCAAAATAAAATCTTATCCATAATGGAGTTATGCTCTACCACAGTGCCTAAGTTTTATACTTACGCTCTGAATAGAAATGAATCACAGAGGGGGCATGAGTTCCTTCAAGATTGCAGACACATTCTACTCATGGGTTCCAACAACTATGAAACCTGCTTTCAAGGTTTCTTGCCGATTATCCCCCCCCAACTATCTAAAATACCTTTTTGTTCTGCTGGTTACCATAGTTACACCCGGTCACCTTGATTAGTTTGAACACCCATAACTCTAACTTCCGCATTCAAAGTTCTTTTCAGAGTCAAAATATCGAAAACAAACTGTCCTCGGTAGAAATCTCACCGCTTTTCTATACGTAACTTTGAATGATTAATCAGTTGAAGGATGTTGTGAAGGATGCTCACTTCTAGCACTTTTGATCCACGCGGTTGACGTCTATCTACAGTCATACTTGTTAATGCTCTCTAACTTGTTTCCACAGGATACACATAGTGTGAGGGAATAATGTTTTCGCAGATCCCTCCTGAGCAATCTAATCAAAATATATATATATATATATACATATATATATTGGAGTACTGGAGTAGTGGACAGACAGCTGTTTCGCCAGCCTAGTATGGGACTCTTCATCAGCACGTATCCACCTCCAGCGTTTTGAACCCAGGACATTCTGGTTATAAGGCGAGCGAGCTAGCTCGTAGACCATTGAACCACTGGGACCCGATCCAATAGCCAGCCAATTCATGACATAGTGCGACCACTTCACAATGTCTTCTTAGATGAGCAACTGTTGTCACCTTCGACCTGTTGTACCCTACTAGTCACGACTTCCCACTAGAACCCCAGGTAACTACCTACTTGAATAGGGCCAGTCGCTAGTGAGCATCAGATCAATTTTCAAGTATTGGTTTTATAGGGATTCGTTTGTTTGATTGGTTGGAGGATTTCATCTAACATTATAATCATTACCCGTTTTCATCCTACACTGTATATCACTGCATTGTTCTGACATTTGCATATTATATGTTGACTTAATCTTTATTATTCGTGTTTGTACCTATTCAATCTCTAATTTGACTGGTTTTCCTTATGGTTGTGCAGTACATTGATGTGCTGTTTTAACGATGTGATTTTGTTTGGATGAATGTAGGTGATTCTGATCTTGGACTGTCTGTAGTATTTGTTGATGCGTGATTCTTGTAGATAGAGTTTATTTCATCCCACTTTGTTGGGAATATTCCACCTGATTCATAGTATTTATTTTGTACTTTGGAAGTTACCTTTTCTGTATACCTGTCCAACAACATTGTTGAGAATCGTATAGATTTATTGACGAACTGTCGTCTTTTTACTGTCTTTAGCGCTTTTCTAACTGTGTATCTCTCAAGGAAGTTTCGAACAGTCATACAGCAGACTACAAAGACGGATTCCCTGAGTTCAGGCTACAACGAGTCAGTTTTTGATTGCATACTAGTCAGTAACTAGTGTAATGCGTCTAGTCCTATCTTCGCTGCAGACCGAATTCTATCAGTCAAGGAAGGAACTCATGTAACTTCTGAGATTCGAACCCGCGTCACCCAGTGCTGCAGTCAGAGACGTTACCACTGAGCTATTCAGGCTCAGGTCCAAGGCTTCCAGCCGATTGCCTCCAACCATATATTAGCAACAATACGAGTCAGTTTTGGTCGTAACACGTAGAACAACTCATATACACACCTGCACAAAAGCAGGTGAATTCAAGCATATACATTAAGCGGGGGGGGGGGCGGGCGGTCATCTGCAAGAGTTTATCCTTAACCTTGTTTGAAAAACCATGAACAGGCAAAAGAATACCAACCAGGCTTAGAGAGTCATTGAAATGAAAGTTCTAATTTTCTGTTTGAGAATTATAATGATTCCCCTTTATTGTCTCCTTTCTCCCTCTTCAATTCACATAACTGTTATCGATTTTGGCTGGCAAGCATGCATTGATGTAATGTATTAAAAAGTTGTTTTTTTTTCAGAAAAAAATTACAATAATAATTAACGCAATTTAGGAAAAAATCTTATTCAAAGATTGTTGTCGAATTATTATCCATAATTTTTCTGTAGTTATTGTTCAACTCATATAATTTTTAAGTGTATTTCTATGTGTCTATGAGTGCATGTGTATGTGTGTGTGTTTGTACACTTTTTAAAGTTACATCACTATATACATGTGTATATATGGGATGTTGGTTTAAGCAGTATGCAACTCTTTCTTATCTAGTTAAATCGCTACTTTCCTAAAATGGAATATCGATTGGAGGATTTCATTATGAGCTGACATCAGTTAGAGAACCATTGGAAAACGTGCAGGGAGTACTGGACAGCCAGCTGTTTCGTCAGCCTGGTTTGCGGCTCTTCATCAGTACGCACCCACCAACAGGGTTCGAACCCAGGACCTTCTGGTTCCAAGGCGAGCTCTGATGCTCACTAGTGACAGGCCATGTCCAGACCGTTAACCAGTGTTTCTAGTAGGGTACAGAAGGTTGAAGGTGAGAATAGCTGCTCATCGAAGAAGACATTGCGGAGTGATCGCGCTATGTCATGAGTTCGACCGTGTCCCAGTGGTTTAATGGTCTACGAGCTCGCTCCCTTTGTAACTAGAAGGTCGTGGGTTCGAACTCCCTGTTGGTGAGTGCGTACTGTGAAGAGTCTCAAAGTAGGCTGAAGAAACAGCTGCCTGTCCATTACTCCCTACTGGTTTTTCAATGATTCTCTAACTGATGTCAGCTCATGATGAAATCCTCCAACTAATCAAACAAAATCCCTACAAAACCATTACTTAAAATGGGAAATCTTTTCTAACTATAATAATAATAATAGCTTTATTCCAAACAGTATTTGTGGTACAGGTATGGAATTTTCAGCGTGCATTACAATATTGCATCTAATTACCTCATAAATTTTATAAGATTTTAAAAACAATAAGCAACAACAACAAAAAAAGAGAAATAAAAGAAATAAAAAAACGAACAGCATTGCATTCACATATTT